CCGAGTTCAGTCGCGCGCTGTAGATAGTCGCTGTTGTGCTTATTGGCATCGCATTAACTCTCGGTCAACTTGGTTTTGTAGAGTAGCGGAGATGCTGAAGATGCTGCAGCGGCGCAACGGTCATTTGAAGTCATTTAAAAAGCTAAAAGTCCTGTGAACATGGTTTGTTGTTTGGCGCGCCATACGAGATTGATTCGAGGATACATGTCAAGTACATGCATGTTGACATACGTTTTCATGTACCTCTCCCGGCGTCACGCGAATCCGGCTGTTGCGTGCAAAACGCCACCTCTTGTGCCTCAATAGTCTATTCTTGCGAGCGACAGCATTGCGTTGCGGGTTGCCCGTCGTCACAGGTCGCACATCATAGTGGTGCATTGCACGAGGTTTCTCGCTTGTCTCAACTTACGGCGAGCGACAGACGAACACTGAAGGATGGCGTGGAAAAAGGGAAAGAGACTCGAAAGCGTCTTAAAGTTCAGCAGCTTAGATTCAGGTCTTCTTGCCCCGTGACCACCCGTCGAAGCGCTGTGTCTTTCTCTTTCGTCCACACGCCAAGCCGTAACGTCGACGACTCGTGCAAGTCATACCACACATTGCGCGCAATACCCGAACGTTCAATTGTAAACTTTTTCGACTTGCGTGCCTCCTGCCACGCGCGAACTTTGTTCCACGCATGGAGAAGTATCTCCACGTTAGCGGTGTGTGTCATGTAGAAATCTTCGGCAAAGTCCGCGACAAACTTACGCTCTCGACTCGTGTAAAGTGTTGAGGGCCCGGCTACAAACGACTCGTGACTGTGAGCATGTAGAAACTCGGATATCGTTGATACTGCCGATGGCTAGATCTTGGCATCGTACCATTAGATTGTGTACCGTCTTCGAGACAGTAGATATATATCCCAGTAAACATTGCCCGTTTAATATCGCCCTGGCCAAGACATATTGATGAAATCTCACGCATGAGCGCATTCACCGTCTAAGATAGGGATATCGTGCAGTAGTAAGTGACTACGTGTGTTACTTATTCTGCTCCATAATATGTGAAGTCCTTTTTATCATTTTAGGAGGGCGGGTGTGCCCGTAGCAAAAATGGGGTGTGCCCCTAGCAAAAGTGGGGTGTGCCCCTAGTCGTGGCCAGTTACTAAATATTAAGAATACAACTACTATGTAATACACTACTAAGTGATATACTCGTACAGATTCTGTATAGGGAATATTACTTTTGATATTCTTCCCTAAGGCAATATTATGTAATAGGGTCACCCCGCGAGATAAATTGTATCCATTATGTGCTGTCAGCTTTACTGCTTAGCACAATTTTTCAACGTACGATCGAAATTGCGAAGGACCGATATCGATCGTAATTGTAAATTTTATACTTCTATAGCTTCTTGATGACATCGCTCATTGTAATGCGTTCGTTCGGGTCGTGACAGCACATGCGTTGAATAAGACTCCACTCAGAATCAGTGAAGCAATTAGCAGGTCGTGGTGGAAGCAAGCCCTCGCAAATATTCGACTGCACCGTTGCATCTGACGTCCCGCAGCCCCATGGCAGCTCACCACTCACAACTTCAATTGCACACATGGCGAATGAATACACGTTGGATGCGAAGGTCGGTGATGAATCGACATGTTGACATTCAGGAGCCGTCCACCGATTCGCGCTAACCGATAGGTTTCTCGGTTTGATAGAGCTCAATCCGAAGTCTACTATTTTGACAATTCCTTTTGAACTTACAAGAATGTTGCAGCACCTCAGATCCGCGTGCACAAGATTCTGTGAGTGCAAATATTGCAATCCGAGAGCCATTTCATGCAGGACGCGGCGTGCACATGTGCTGCGCTCTGCCTTTGGCTGTGAAGCGACAAAGGTATCGACCGATTCTTTAGCTGCATACTCGCAGACAAAAAATCGGTGTTGCCCCAAATGGCAAGCACCCAGCAGTTCCAGAACATTGGGGTGCTTAAGCGCTGACCAAACTGTCATTTCGTTCATAAATTGCCTTAGCGGTTCTTTCGAAGACTTGATGGCGTCGGATGTACAATGTGCGCCGCGTCTCTTCTGCTGTAGATTCGCAACGCCAGGTTTTTCCTGGAAGACCACATATTTTACCACTACGTCCATGTTCATCCACTTGCCAAAATGAACAGCGCTTGACGTTCCTTGGCTAATGCCATCAATTTTGTTACACACCACCTCATACGGCGGAATGAACCATGTAGGAGGGGATGGTATTGGTTCGTACTCATGAGAGCAGACGTCGGGTGGCACAATTCGTCGATGCGCTTCTTTCACCTTATCTAGCGCAGCATTCATCAGATCTAGATCTCGGGCAGCATAACTTGATCTCCGCTTCTTTACTTCGAACGCCAGTAACGTACATAACAACACAAGGTCTTGGTCCTCGTCCAATCCTCCACTCATCAGTTGAGCCTGCGTTGACAACGTAACACGCAGGCGTTTCCATAGTTGATCCTTGTGGGACGCCTGCTGGAGTTTCCATGAGTGAATTGCAGCCCCTGAGTAATTCGATACGAGCTTGCTCAATAAATCATCAAGTTCGTCATGGAAAGCGACGTTCGTCTCGATGATATGACGCGTTGCAGCCAGCCTTATAAGCGAATTTTCATTGACATGTCGCTGAAGCAGATCTCGAAAGCGCAAAATAAGATCTGCTAGGACAGGAAGATGTGACACAGCGTCATCTGCATACATGCCTTCTAATTGAGCAGCTATATCGTCCATTCGCTCAAAAAGATGGTAGTTCATTGCTGAACTTTCAGAAGCGTCGTCGCACCACGCTTGAACTTCGCTAAGAGTGCAGGCAATTGAAACTGAGGTAGCTCGTGGCTGGGTCCGGCCTAGTGAAAAGAGGCGCAATTTCTTTCTCGGCTTTGCAGCAGAAAAACATGTGCAATTATTTTCCTCGTCGTAGGCGAACGCTCGAAAGCTAGCCACCACCTCCATCAGTGACGGCCGGGCGCTTATATCATAAGAGCACATGCGTTTAACCAAATCCCACTGCGCCATTTCTTTCATGGCGGCTGGCCTTGGTGGTATTACAACGGGGCTGCTCTCATTGCTGTTCCATATTCTTCCGCCAGAAAAAGCTTCGATCGCGCACATTCCTAAAGCGTATATGTCGGATCCCTCTGTTGGTCCTTTCGCGGTCATGCTCGATAGCTCGGGTGCCTGCCAGTACTTTTTAGCTGACTCTCTACAGGATTTTTTTCCCAATGATGTTGACCTCACTTGGGCCATTTGGTCTCGGTCAATCATATCAATATCGTCATAGCTGACATCACTCGCGTTCTCCTCTAGGACGGGATCTTGGTCGTCGTATTTTGTGATTATGCTTTCGATAACGTTTGTAGGCTCCACGCCAGAGTCCATCTGCTTCATATTGAAGCCAGCGAGCATTATAGAGTCACGGTCACCACTGCGGAATAATATTAGGTCGGCGCACGAGAGAGAACTAAGGCTGATGCGCCTCTCGTGCAGATGTTGCACAGCTACAGCAGCCTCGTACAATGCTCGCCACAGCGGGAAACCATCGTCATGGAAACATCGAGTTAATGGCGTTCCTTCTGCTACAACAAAAAACGGCCGTCGACCCACATGACACGCTCCAAATAATGTCATAATGTGCGGATGCTGCAGACGCGACCAGGTGCTCGCCAGCGTAAAACATTCATCCAAGTTCATCGCCTCTGGTGCACTTTGTACAATTACAGCAGCGCGCTGCCATTTGAGCTGCTGCTTTGTCTTGTCGTAGGGAGCAACAAACCATTCCGGTACAAACATTGCGTGCAGTTGTGCTTCATGGTGCACACTGTTCGTGCTACACCTCACTACAAAAGCATACGCGCGTTCTAGAAGCTTCGATTCATCTGCCGTAAGCAGTGTGTCGCATTTTCGAACGTTGTGTTTGAGCAAAGTGAGCACCTCTAGTTGGTCCGCAAGCTTACATGTCCGCGGCTTCGAGACAGCAACAGTCTCGTGATCCTCCAGGTACGACTGGAAGAACACCAGACGCTCTGCTCGCATTCGACGCCAGCGTGACTGCCATCGAGGCAGCGAGGATCCAAGCCCAGAGGGTGCAGCCACCATCAGGCCGCAACGAGCAGTGATAGCATCCAGCACTCGGTGAAAGCTTTCGACTTGCTGCACCACTCGTCCTGTTTGCGCAAGACGCCAAAGAGTGCGTTTTTCGCTTTCGTAGTCGGAGAAAAAGACGTGGATGGTGTCCAGCAGATCGTCGATAGCCCTTTGCACTTGTGCGTAAAAGATTTTTTTAGAGTCGACTCGGGGTACCTTCTGAAGATATTGAGCAAGTGTATCCAGTCGGTCCGTGAGGTGGTGATCCAGATGGGGCTCCTGTCGCCGCCGCCTGTGTAGGCGACGCCGAGAGGGGTGTATTGACGGTGGTGGTGTGACAAACTTCATCGGACACGTGCTAATCGCAGCCGGAGATTCGAGTATGACGGGCGCGTCTGAGGAAGAAGATGACATCGAAGGCGAGACTGGTATTGCCTCCTCAATTTTGTCAAATAGCGACGGTGTGTGGCGCATGGTGCTACTCGTGCAGCCCATTATGACGCAAAGAATCGTAACAAATAATAGCAGTAGGAACAGGTAAGATTAAGAGTGCTTTACCTACAGCCATGGAAATAGGAAACGGGACTCACGGAAACCTTGGTACAGACCATCGTGTCTATCTGGACGTATGAGCTGTTTCAAGTCAACTTCATTTTGGCACCTGGGCATGAAGCGCTCAGCCCATGCCTTATGCACACCGACCACAAGATAGGGCATCACGTTACTCACTGTTTACGTGTCGACTATGAGCTATAAGTTTGGGAGTAGACATTTTAAATCGTCGTGCTGAACCGTCACCATGATTAGTTCGTTCAATATCACGTTACTCACGATGCAGTCGGACAACCAAGGCGTGTGGTCAGTCCCAAAACGCCACACACCATTCTGTAAACATGCTATGGGCGAGGTACGCCGGCTTCCGAGGCACGCTCGACGATGTATTGTAGAATGTCCTGGTAGAGCACCTCGCTCCTGCTTTTGACCTTACAGATTGTCATGTGATCTGACCCAGATAGTACGTAAAAGCGGCCGATGCCTGGATCAGCCGAGTGGGGCTTCACGACGACAGCGGAGAGGCCAAGAGCTAATGGCGAAGCCAGCTCTTCACCTACACTGAAACAGCCGATGCCAAGTGTCTTAAAGCTACCGTTCAGTTTCTTTAGACGCCCATTGGGGTCCGCTCCGAGATCTTCGATAGCTGGATGCGTCTGAATCAGCTTGCGGATGGACTCGGATCGCACGCCTTTTGCTAATTCCGAGCCAAAGTGAGGAACGGCAAGAAATATCACACCTTCAGTGCTGTCCGCCACGCCTGACTGATCGCGCTGCTCACTATCGAGCAGTAGCATTATTTTGGTCAGCAAACCACCCATCGAGTGGGTGACGAAGACAACAGGGCGAGCAGGTGCATCTGGATGGCGACGATCGCGGCCAACATTAGCAGCGTAAAGAGCTGAAAGCATGTCGCGCGCACGCTCCTGTAAAGTAAGCGAAGGCCACGGACTGGACCAGCTGACCATACCAGCCTCGTAGCCCAGGGTTATCAATCGTGCAGGTACGTGCATGCGCTCTAAGTCCTTTGCTAGCAGCACAGCTGGCCAAATGTCGTTGCTTCCGTTTTTGCATCCCATATCGGTGCGCCACGTTCCAAATGGATGTCCCCGTAGGCCATGCACAAATACCACGTCAATCAGTGGGGTAGCACCATTGCCGTCTACGCATTCCTCCGTCAAGTCACCTTCAAATCGAGAGACAATCGGGTGTACGCCCTCACAATACACATCCATCACCAGACGACCAGTAGTCACTACTTCGTCGTAAGCACGGAGATTGTGCACGACACGAAAGTAGTTCGAACGCTGCATTGGGTCATTGTACTCGCGCCAGCCGTACATACGCCGTAAAAATTGCTTGCCGGAAGCCGTTTGTCGAAGGAGCCTGGCTATGTCGATGTGATCGCTATTAGCACCATCCCGAGCGGGACCAACAGAGAGCGCTGAGCTGTGTGGGTCGATTTTGAGACAATACGTAGCGACGAGGTTTGCCAACACACGTGCACATTGTGTATGCTGCGCTGGCGTGGCAGCACTGGTCGCAGCTAGCAAAGCTATCAATGGAACAACGCCCTGCTGCACTAGCTCAGCGTGGTGGTGCTCTGCCAGTATCGCTAGAGCTGACGTACCTGCGTCAACAACCGCAGGGTCAAAAATAATTTGCTCGTTTCCAGGGGTCATTTCCTTTGAGACGTGAGCGATCTCTTCCATTTGCTTTACTGCCAGTAGCTCACCACCCGAAAGTAAGCGGATACGCTGAAGCATGTTTGTGAGCCAGGCTTGAAGAATTTGCTCCTGCTTGTTTCGAATTTCTTCCATCTTTTCACACGTCGACTCCAGATGATTCGGCTGATGCTGCTCAGCTAAAAATACGAGACTGCGTGTAGCATTTTCACGAACTTGGCGATCCGTACTGGCGCTCCATGCCGTCAAGATATCAACCCATCCATATTCGATGCTAGCTTCATACTCTTCAGCACCTATAACAGGCAAATCAGTGAAATCAGGGATACCGCGAAAGATCCGTGACATGGGCAAATTTTGGCGCGACTGCAGAAACGTTGCCGTCCATGTGGCACCAAACAAGCAACTGAGCGCCGTGGCACCGCTTTGATATCCTGTGCAAATGTTCCGGAATGTCCACGATGCGTGACGCTGGATGCCTTCGAGTATTTTCGTTGAATCTTGATCGTTGGAGATCCCGACCGTCTCTTTTGTTTCGTGGATTCGGCGAGATAAGCTAAATAATGCTGCTCGAGTATTTATGGACTCACAGACGTACCGCCGACTTTGAGGAGATGCCGTGAGTGTGCGCATGCACCGCGAGCTGATCAGTTGAAGTTGTAAGCTTTGTGCTTCTCGTTGCATTATAGCTGTTTTATTCTCGCTATGAGGTACATATCCTCTTTTTCTTTGGTTCCACATTCGTTCGGTAGCAACAGGCTTTTCTTCAGTTTGCTCGGTATTCGCCCAGTAGCAAATTTGCTCCATCCACAATTCATAAGTGTCACGCGTCACTGCAGCTGGGTTACGCCGCGCAATATCAACAAGGCTATCCATCACCATGGCAGCCTGTAGTTGTATCCCCAGACTGTCCCTATCTCGTGGTAGTGCCATGAGCATAGTGGCAAACGTCGGTTCTAAAGCTGCTTTTAGCTGTTGTGACTGGATTCCACTCAACTCTTCGTGATTCACCGCCTGTGCAAGTGTTTCAAGTGCCCATAGCCCAACCTTTTTTATCAAATCCGGCATCTCCGGCGAACACAAGTTTACCAGCGCGGCACAGCTTTCAGCTACATTGGAGGCATCTCGATCGACTAGATAAGATCGTTCAACAATGAAACACTGAGACGCGTCAGCTTCTGATTTTTGACGAGCTGATTGCTGCACCTTCATCAAGGCATCACTGAATTGCAGCACATCGACGCAGCTCACGACATTGTCTCCCGGGTGAAGTAAGTGGCCAAGAGCTTGCGCAAGAGTGATTACTGGCAGCTTCAAATCCACTCGTTTATCGTCAAAAGCCACCTTTAGTAATTTGGTTAGACACAGCACCAGCGCTACAATAACAAAACATTGAAAAAGAAGTCAGCAACAATTGCAAAGACTTTGAGGAAGCGGTGCTACATACGCTGCAGCACTGTAGGATCTGTTGGTTGTTTCCGAGCTGTGTACTGTATCAACAACACCAATGCGCCTTGATCGACAAAATAGCGCAGTGCGTCTCGAAATTGCTGGTCGTCTCCGAGACGCAGAATGCAGCTAAGCAGACGTTCTATCAACTTGTCTTCCAAGGCGCCTCGGCTTGAAATATCGCTCCACTGCTTAAAGAGCTCCACCGCATCGCCCAGCGATATCGTCACCTCGGTCTGATGATAAATTAACACTCCCAGGTGCATAGTGCGGCGCAGTTGCCGCGCCCTTTCGGGGGGCGTAGTCAGCACCAGTCCGGCAACGCCAACTCCCGCCACCATATAAACAGTCGGTAGAAATTGCAGGCGTATACGAGCAGAGCAACGAGCAGCTCTTGTAGAGTTAAGATAGGCACGTCTGCTACGCAGCAGGAAGCTTCGAGGTCGCATGACGAGTATAATTTGAAAATATTAGGGTGATAGTTTGAGACCGCAAGGTGTGAAACTCGAGGATGTACAAAACCATAATCACAAATTGTGAAATGTGATGACGACTAGTGTAACTCTTTCAACCAGGTCGACGACCTCCCAGTTTCATTCGGATAAATATAAAAAGCATGCACCACATAATGACAAAAATGCACCAAATAATCATACGATATAGAATGCACCACAAGATAAGAAATCAGAATAATGCGCCAACTGTGCATACGATACGACCGATTATCCAAGGCATGTGATCGTTCGAGTGCATCTACTTATATCTGTTTTATTCCCTCCCTATTTTTAATCGATCAGAAAACGATACATAGAAATAGTCAACAATCGTGTCACGAAGGAAGAGGTTCGTCGACTTTTCGAGCGTAGCCTAACAATGTCGCTATTCGCCTTCATGTGAGGTCACGTTGAATTCAGCTCTGCTATCCAGCTTTTATAGTATGACGTTGTGTTAATGTGTAGCTATCATCTCGGCCGAATGGCGTCCGTTGGATGAGATGAGTTAGGAAAGCGCCATGTTCAAATGGCGCGTACATAATGCTCTGTAAGATGTTAAGGTACCACCCGGGGCAACGTGAGATGGCTGATAGCCAAAAATTTAAGAGGATACAAGATAGTGGAGAAATGACGAAAATACTTGAGTGTCATTGCAGGTCGTCGCGCATGTGATTGCGGACACACAAAAATTACAAGTCAACAAAACCTGCAACGCTGATGGATGTCGTGGCCGTCACATCACGAAGCCGGTACTCGCGATATTGATGTCGGTTTTGATTTAAGTATTACCGAATGGATGCTGCAGAGGTAGACTCAATACTGTTTTCTGCATTGGAGGACTTAATGCACTAAGCTTCCCCTAGGTTCACATCGGACATGAGATTTAATATACTGATACGTCATCATGTCATAGACTCTCAGCAAAGTCACTTTACCTACAAGGACAATGCAACATGATGATTGCATCGTTGAATATATGAACCATGTGGTAAAGGCACCGGCGCGTCAAATATTATCATAGTGTAAACTTATATGGTCTATGGAGACAAAAGACTGTCTTAACACCCTTTAATCGCCTTGAAGGCTTTTTTCGTTATTTGCTACAACATTTTCACGAATAGTGTCAAAACAACGATGTATATGTACCCAGGCGTGGGTACATTGAACCAAATAATATACCATTGTGGTTCATTTTCTTAGTTTGTGATTCTTCGCGTATTTTTCATTTTTTCCATCATGTGGTGCATTTATTATTTTGTAACTATTTGATGCATCGTTTTATTCTCGTGATTATCTTGTGCCTTTTCATGTCTTCAATATTTGTCCTAGATATACGTGCCGCCGCTTTTCCCAAATTCGTGACCTGTAATCGTATACGTTTGTACACTTGTCAAATATAATAAAAGCTCGAGTTCTATACCCAGCAAAACCAATACTAGAGTGGCGCAATCCCAAATGCTCATTGTCCGACTTCAGGCAGTGCTGGCCTCGGCACTTCGCCCCGGGTAGCAGCCATACGGGTGGAAATTCTCCCTCGCAGGAGATGAATGTGTCTGGTGCCTTATCTTTACCCACTGCTCGCACAAATGACTCGGGTAGGACATCTCGACTATAGGCCTTTCTGCGACAAGCGGTATCGTCTCGACGGTCGCGCGATTTAGTCTGCTCGATGTGCCGCACATTGGCAACATAGGATTCACTATTACTGCGGACGAAAGTATCATGCAACGATACGTTGTTTTGACACCATGCATCTTGAGATCGTTTTCCACGCTCGCAGAGGGTCTAGGGTCCAACAGATGACCCGATTAAACCACGAGTATCCCTGCATGCGGTGAGTCATGTGCCCTCACAAAATTTGTACGACGTAGGCGTTGTTTAGTTGACGCATTGTCTACTGCATCGTAAGATCTATAACGAGCCGGTAAGGAAACATTCTAGGTCTTTACCTCACATCAGGATGTCGCACGCCCGACTCCATAACCGGGTGGCACCCTTCCGTCAGCAATTCGACTATGCTTATACTATCACCTTACATGCTTGCCTATCAGGCGAATAAACTGCTCGTCATTACCTTATGTCTGTTTCGCTAAATATGCTCAACACCACTACAGTGGCGTCGTATTCCGCCGAGTTAGTCATCTTGTCGAAGACCAGAAAGCCATTCGCTACTCTGCTGCTGGGAAATCCAGAAGGCTCGCTCGAGGCGACTCAATTCGCATAAGACCTGGCGCTTGGCCTTCGGATCGCACTTGCCGGAGGCAATGCGGTACCAGTGATACTTACGCACGTAGCCCACAAACTTTTTGCTGATGCGCATTGGGTGACACACAAGTACCTCGGATAGGAACTTGCGTAACGACATATTGCCGTGAAGAGGAAGAAAGCCTGACTTGAACGCTTCAATCATCGCCTTGGCGTACAGTTCCTCCTCCATTGACCACCGACCGCTGCGTACTATACCGTGCTGAGAATAGTCCGACCGCTTCAAAACTTGCTGGTTCGACTTCGTCGGTGTCCTGTGTCCTGGTCTGTGTCTCGCGAGGTACGAGCTGGCAATGCTCTCTGGCAAATCGGACGCGTCGCAATACGGCGACCCGGTAGACTCGTTGTTCATGATCGACCTAAGACTGAGCGGATCAAACGCCTTGTCACGCGAGGTCCCGTGTACGCTTCCTTGCTCAGGCAAGTAACAAGGGATCGACGTCAAGCTCGGCGATTTTCCGCTGACGCGCATGGGCTTGTAAGGCGACTTGTCATCAGCAAGGTTTTCTACCGACACGTTGGGCGGCAGTACAGTATCACTCTTCACGGCATTAAGGATCGCAACGTCGTATCCCTCGTCATCGACGACTCGACGACTCTGCTTCACTGCGCTCTTCGTCACAAATTCAACGAGATTCTTGCTTCTTGAATCAATCATGTGTGGAGCTCTTGGAGACACACGGTCAACGACCGCGCCCGCACTGAGGCAAATATCCGTTGGAAATACGTCTGTAGCAAGCACCACTTCCCATACAGAAGTACGCATGTAGAGTGGTCGCTGCGCACACACCGACTTCGTCTCGGCACTGCTCGGGCTACGTGCGATAGTGTCCGTCACGCGTGGAATAACATGCTGATCTTTTACTCGCTGGTTTGGCCAATGCTGTGCACGTTGTTGGGGAGTAGTAGAGCAGAAAAAGCCTTGGACGGGTGGGTGATCACAACAAGTGTAAGCAGCCTGCACATTCGGACCAGCATGCGAGCCGAAGCAGGATCTTTTTGGCATTGGCGAGATCTCGCGCGAATTGTCGTTCATGGCTTGCACTATGGACGGAAGCGTCTGCAACAGACTTCGCTTCAGCGTGCTGGGGCGGCCATGTAGTGGCGGTGGAGTGTGAGCAATTAATGGACCCACTTGCTCTGCGGCTTCAATGAGTGGCGTCAAGCCAAACTGCACATACCATCACAGTAGCCATAGAATAAGACGTTAAACAACCTTGCAGAACGGAGCACAAGGTACACTGCCGCTTATAAACGCTTCAGCTGGACGGCCGACTCGTGTGCGAGTCGCGTACCTCGGCTACCTCTGATTGCGTAACGAAGGAGGAGGGCGATGATGGAGATCGCACGATCAGCCCGTGTTGTGGCGGCATGGAGCCGCAGGGCACCTGGGTTTCAATGTATACTGGCAGCGCAGTGTGATGCTTCACGCGTGATCCTGGTGTCTGCATGTCGTCCGAGCTACACCCGATTTCTTTTTGACGCTGACAACCCGCTGCAATGGACACCGGCAGCTCCACAACAGCCGTCGTCGGTGTGCGCGCGAATGGGGGAAGAAGCATAGCCGTCGGAACCAGTCGACCCGCCGATGAGGAGGAAGAGAGCATGCTGCGTGAGCGAACAGCAAGCGTGGCCTGATGGTGCGGGCTATGTGAGAATCGCTCTGCGGCGCCGATTCGATAATGGAAGTACTGCAAATATTCGGACAGCCCGTTCAACCTACAGAAACAACTTCAATCTTGAAGTTCAACGTGCTGGGGTTTTCGTGAAGATCATCGCTGCTGAGTCATACAAAAATTAACGAAACTGAAGCGGAGAAATATCGAAGAAGTGCAGGCTGAAGAACACTGTTCGGTACGTAGACAAAACATGCAAGCTACTGCGTGGTCCTGGGTTCGTGCTTTTACAGTCAACACATAGGGTGCCGGATGGCGATCATGCTTTTAGTCCGTCTGGATTTGCCGAGTCCCTGTGACAGTCAGCAAACTTCGGGACAAGCCTTATATTGCAATGACAAAGCCGCGGTTATATTCGGGCAGATACTCTCAGATGCTTGTGCTTTTTCATGTAAGAGTCGGTCTAAGCGGTCTTGTTGCCCTTTCTCGCTCCGTGCATTGATCTAGGAAAATGGCATCGGCAGTGGAGTGAGATGGAGTCAAGCCTGATGTAGGTGGTATGGCGACTGGTTGCAGTTGGCGCACTCCTCCCGACCTTGTAAACATCAGGTGCCAAGTTCAACGATGGGGGGCATCAAACTTTTTTGGCCAAATGGTACGACGTTCGGGGGAAGATGGCCGCAAACTTTCGTGTTTTGTACTCCAGTATGGCGATGCTATGTCTATTACCGGTCGTTCTGGTCCGCCAGGCTGTGCATCTGTGTGTATCTAGCCCTTGCTTCAGCACTGTTGACATACAGCCGACCGCCACTAAACCCATTAGTGTAAACGACACGTGCGCGCCTTAGGCCACAATGAGACAAAAATCTGTGAAGCATCGTTTTAATGCAGAAATTAAGCATACGCATATGCTTTGCTGCACTGGTCAAAATGCTGAAGGAGTTCTCGTTGTGCTGGTTATCTTCGGTCGGTCATACTCTCGTGACAGGTACTACCCCTTCGTCTGCATGAACTGCAAACAACGTATCAAAATTGGCGATGCGTTAGTTCTCAAGCAATCGATAAATTAACGATGACATACTCAGTTGCAAGCGGGTTTTGTATAATTATACATTCACACAGCGCCTCGATGAGCTTTGGCGTCGGTGATCGACCAGCTCGTGGTGTCAATCCCATAGACGTGCTATGAGATTACAAGGATTCATACGCCCCACTTACTTTCGCTTAAGCGATCGAAATGCCGATCCATTTGGAATGTACAACTTATCCAGTGTCGCCACGAGGACGAGCCGTACCTAAGTACACAACGTCCTTGCAGTGCATAAATTTGTAATTTGAAAGAAGTACTGGCTTTTGACCAGAAGAAATTGCGTAATTAGCTCAGGATTTAAAATATGCACCAAATAAAAAACGAAAATAATGCACCAAGAATTACACTGTACGGGGTTGCACGTCGACTGGTATTCGACAATAGGTGTGGTGCACACAAAGGAGGGGACCCCCTTTATAGTGATATTAGAACACAGTATCAATTGTTGAAGATTGATGTCTGTCAACCATTGATCACGAGATCTTTTGAGAGGTTTTATTTAGGACATTAGCGAGTAGGTTAATTACGTTGTTCGAAGGTGTTCTTTTAGGTTAAAAGAAGAAATACGGTTCAGTTCCCATTTTTATCAACATTAGACACGTGCCTCTTTGAGGCATCTTGGTCGGAAGAGCTAGCAACGCCTGTAACGGTAGTTGCCCTTGAGTACTCTGTGCTGTGATTCTCTTGAATCGTTTGGTCCCCCTGAAACAGTGACCGTAAGATCTCGAGCTTGTTGACTCTTTGAGTCGGGTTCTTTGAACCAAAGTTTCTCGTTGAGCGTTAAAGTCTTCCTCTGACTTAAGGAGCTGTGTAGCTCCGCTACACTTGGTAGCACTCGTAGTCAATCTACGCCTGAGTCGGTAACGACTGATCCTCTGTGAGGATGGAGCAATCCCCACCTCTTACTGAGGCCCAGAAGGTCGCGCTTGATAAGCTGACCGCGACCTTAGGCCCTGAATATTGGTGTTTCAAGCTGCACAAGGTCTTGATGTGCAAAATGCACGAGTCGAGACATTCAGTCAGAATAAAACAGCCCTACTAGGGCAAATTTAACACCAAATAGCGTCGGCTATGCCAACACGCTACGCGGCGATGCCAGATGAAGAGGCTCAGCCTCGTCTTCTTCCTATGGACGTCAAACATTACTCCGGGAATGAGGGGGGAGTCTTACCCTCTAGATCTGTGAGATTGAGATGAGCATGCGTTCTGGCCTTATCCCACTTAAGTACCAGAGGATCTCGCTGGCTATCTACAAGCTCGATGGAAGAGCAAAAGAGTGGGCTTTGACGTGCAACACGTCTGTCGACTTGGCTTTTCCCACATAAGATTCGCTCAAGTTCGACCTTTTGCGAGTTTTCTCGCCGCCTAACCCGGCTTATCGCGTGCGCTCACGCTTCTTGTCTATCCGTCAGGGTAAGAATGAGTTGACGGACTATGTCCAGGAGCTGAGAACTCTGATGGCTGCTATGCAGTCTGACCCTCTCCCTGAGACCGTATACGTGACATTATTTATAAAAGGTCTTCGCACTGGCGTTGACAGGACCGAGATCTTTCGGGTCCATCCCTCTAATTTTGAAGACGCGGTGAGCATCGCTCAAAATGCTAAGCAAAACTTGAAGACGACCAGACTTGGTTGGAATGAGTACAACCCAAGCTTTGTGAGGGCAGCCTCAGCAAATACTTCGGCTTACTGTAAGCCTGAACCGATGGATCTCAGCCATGCTGAAGATGAAGGTGAAGCTGATCTTCAGGTTGCGGAGCAACTAAAGGAAGTGAGACGCTGTTACATGTGCGGAAGCACTAAGTACTTGCGCCCCACTTGTCCTTTGCGCAAGCAGCACCAAACTTCTATGAGTCGAAAGCCCGGCCCCAACCAGAAGTCTGGAATGGCACGGGGAAATGTCGACACCCAGCAGGCGCGGAATGCTATACTGGGGTAGAAGTGAGATCTGTTACTTCTCTAAGAGGTATAGCGAAACAGGGCTTATCCCCACAGAGCTCTGTGCCAGCAAGCACAGAGCGTGGATGTGAAGGAGTGGTGATCACTCGTTTGAGAAGTCGATTCCAACTCTCCACTGGCGCCCGGACGACCGACTAACGGAGGGGTTACTCCGATTCCGTGTTCTTGATTACCTTCCTCACATTGTGTACCCGTCGGTGTGGCGGGTTGCACTTTTCCAGGTGGACTCGTGTCAATGGAAAACTTGACCGTGTTTGCGATGGGGTCGAGGTTCGATCACGGTGTGGAAATCTTCACACCACGATCGGGGTTGGTATGATCACGTGTAATTCGTCACGCCATCACTTGTATACTTGTGGGGTGCTCGATATGAGCCAATCTGATCTGTAACAGATCGCCTTGTCCAAATGTAGACCTTGATTCGTGAGCCTTCTGACCACTTGAGCCTTCTCGCGATCTCGGGTCCTCAACCACAAAGGTCCTCCCGCGTCCAGTCGCAGTTGGGGTATTGTTTGATAGTTCTTGATCCCTGGCCAAACAATCGATGGATATCACTTGATTATAGTATGTAAACCTTTTCTTGACGTCGGGTGGCCAATGATCCACCTGGAGGAGAAGTCGACACGTGTAGTTTGAAGCAAATTGAACTGTGTTTAATGTTAACCAATCAAACCCAACAATTCTATCCCTATCCCCATGTCTTGGACATCGTTTGTCACATGTCGCTCTCTCTAGACGGTAGCGATCTTGTACTTGCGTGGACCACACCTGATATACTTGTCTGATCGCGATCACATTACTGATCACTGATCACGATCTCGATCGCTTCTTGATCGTGATCGCCTTGCTGGTCGCGGTTTCCTTCTTGATCGACTGATCGCCAACGTTACCTTCCGCCTCATACCTTGACCCAAGATCGCAGGTCCCAACCTACCCGATCTGATATCAATTTTAGTCTGACTGTCCAATGGACACGATCTGACCAGATGTGGGACCGGGCAGCCAACCGTTAGCTGGCTCGGACATAACGGAAATGCGATCAGTTCCTCTACAGTGAATTTCCATTGTCGCAATACCAAAGTCTTCCCCGCGCCGTTAGTCGCCACACAGTGTATATCTGACTGCGCACTTATCTTTTTGCTTGATCATCCCCACCGGTTTAACTTACGCCATGTCGACGACAAAACATTCTGGCACCTCTCCTCCTTCCGATTCGGGTGAGTCGTCTCCTGGCCATGGTCAGGTGACGCACGTCTGCGATCCCAATGGGTCGTACGCCGGGTCGTACTCGCTTCTTCCTAGTATCAAGGTGACGGCCGCTGCTTATGTTGATCGACCGCCGATGGCCGGCATGGTCGCCACTCTTTACGATCGCTCGGAAAGCTACGAGGAGATCGTGAGGCGTTACGGCTCCCTTAAAGATGCCCTAAAAGAAGAGAAGAACCGCGGCGATCGCCTGGAGTAGGAGTTGAACACGTTGCGTGAAGTCGGGATCCAGTTGCGTGGATATGGCAAGCATCGTTTCGATCGTTCGTTCTCCTCTTTGCAGAAGGCTCGTCAGCGCAGCAAAGAATATGAAGGCATCTTGAACAAGCAGGAGGAATGGGTGGCGAGGATTCACGACTTGGAGAACGAGATCAAGCGCTTGAAGACCTCCTTGTCCGAAGCTGTCTCCTCTGAACCAGAACAGAGTCGGCGTGACCAGACTGCTACTCGTGCTTCTCTTGAGAATCAGTATCGGCAATAGACCAGCTCGATTAAGTAAGTTAAAATCCCGGATTTTGCAGCTGGAGTCGATCTGGGATCTCCGGGACGCCGATGCGAAGAAATACCAGGGCGCCTCTGCTCGCGATTAGCAGAGGATAGACGATCTCAAAAAACAGATCGCGTCATTCTCTATGCTGAGTGATCAACATGGCGCGGAGATCACGGTTCAAAAGC